ATACTAGCTTATTACGAATCAACTTAAGGGCCTGCTCCAGTTGGCTTGTTAGCTCAATTGGTAGAGCGCTGCACTAGTATCGCAGAGGTCAGTGGTTCGAATCTCGTACAGGCCTGATTTTCGTTATTGCATAAATAGCGCTCTCTACTGCGAGGATCGTGCACCATACGTATCTATAACCGCAGTTCAAAACATATGAACTTCATATATTCATCGTAACAGTAAATTTTATCACTTTGTTTTATTTGACATCGAGACAAACTCAAAATGTTCTGAAAATGTCAATGTGAACGGCTGAAATGCGGACCAAACGTAGACGAATATTGGCTTACATGATCATGATAAACAAAGTAAAGCTTGTTGATCGCCATTTTTAAACCACTAAGTTTCCACTTTAACAACTTCCTTTCAGGTAGTTTCTGATCGCCGGATTTATCCCTGCCTCCATCTTGTCCCGTGCCTATAAATAAACTCACTGTGAAACTATCTACCAATTTTTATATTCCTTTGTTCAAGAACAAAACCCAATATCTCCAAAATACGCACGAACCTGGAACCTGAACCTTTGTATTTGTAGCAGGCTAAGCGAGTAAGGCCTGAGGGCTCTTATACCTCAGTATTTATACTTTATATTTTTAACTTTTAATTCCAAGAGGTATTCTTACCATATAGTTTCTAGTTTCTAGTTTCTAGTTTATAGTTTATAGTTTATAGTTTATAGTTTATAGTTTCTTACCAGGCTAGATATTCAACATGGCATATACGGTAAGCTGGTGTAGTACCCCACTTTATATCGATCTGCCATACCAATCGTAAGAAAGATGGTCGCCATCGCCACCTCGGAAATTGAAAGGAACTTAATTTTTTTCTTCCCAACCTTTTTCATTCCTTTGACCTTAGTTGCGAAAGCGTTTTACTTGGAAAGGCTTGGACTTACGAACAAGAATAGTTTGTGATCATTATGCAGAATTAGGCTACGAAATCTGGCTACGAATTAGGCTACGAAGCTCTGATGCATTCATGTGCTTACACGACTCATCGGCTTATTTCTGTCCTTCGCATTTTGATAATTATGCAAAGCGATTGCCAACCGGTTTGATTAAAGAGCTTTTATACGGCGAAAACCAAAGATATCATAATAATTAAACAATCGCATTAACGTGTTTTGTCGTAACGTTTATAGTTCGCGTCATATATCACTTGTGTGTCGAAGGATGTTGAAGAAAGAGAGGTGTATGTATAGTTATCCAATATTTTATGTCTTTTAGAAAAGCCTTGACAAAATCTTTTCGAAATATTTCTTCCACTCCCACTTCGAGCATCCTATCATACGAATTCCACCTAAATGATGTCAAAGTGAACTTTGTCCATAATCCCCTCCGATCTTAAAGAAAACCTATTGGACTTGATAAATTAAGTGCCTGATTGTGGAAGGATGCTTCTGATGTTATCGCACCAGTTCTAACTGCACCCATAAATACGTCTTTCACTGATGCACTTTTTCCCGAGGTATGGAAGCAATAAAAAAATACTGATCTCCCACGAGGAGTCAAACCTTTATGCGTTGATGATCTATTAGTTGGTTTTGTTACCCACGTTATTATTTGTAACGATAGAACTGCCTTCGAGTTTATTTCTATGGATTACTCACATATGTTTCCTTGCGGTCGTTAGGTTTACATGAGGTCATTCACTGAAGACTCTCAGTCATTTTCAGGAGGCTAAGATTTTCAAAATGTTTTGGTGTGGTTTTTCATCATGGAGAAAGAGGAATTTGGCGAACAGGCTGCTAATAGAATCAGCCACTCTACTACTGTTTGTCCTGATGTGCCTCCATCTGGTAATTTTACCATCCGTGAGTGGGGGATATGACGAGGTATGTTACTTGCCAAACGAGAGCCGCCAAGCGTTAGGAATAATGGTGAATAATGGTTTAACAGAATAATGGTTTTGAGTATTGGCTCGATTACGGTGAGTTCCGCATTTAGTTTTATGTTTATTGTGTGACTGTCACGTGATTGTGACGTGGCTGCAAAATGCTAGACGATAAGGAAGGCAAGGCAGAATTTTGGAAAGATGCATCGTTTTTAAAAAAGAATGGTGTTAAGGACTAACGAATTCGTATTGAGGCACCCTGAAAACCTTTCATGATTCTGTTTCTATCGAGATGGAATAATTTTTTTCTTCAAAACTAGCTATTGTTATCACTTTGTGGCACATTTTGTGGTCTAAAATAGAGATAATGCACTTCAACCCGCTCGCACGCAAGCGTGGTTGTTCAGAATACTTTTGGGCGCATTTTTTTCCGGGTTTATTTTCTCAATGCTCTGCAAAGTGATAATAATGGTAACATAGTTTGTGTTCTAGGGCTAAATTTATTGTTTGGGTCCGTTTTAGAATCAATTTTACCCTCACCTAACGGCTTGGGCTAAAATGACTCTAAGTCGGGCCCAAAACATATCTACAACTGAGATCATAAGCTCTATTCTTTATTATTGTAAGTTGTATTTTCTTAATATTTGCAAGGTCGATCTATCTACTGGTCAGTCTCTTGTTGTTGTTGTTTTTTTTTTTTGTTTTGTTTTTTTTGTTTTTTGTTTTGTTTTGTTTTTTGTTTTATTAATCATTCTTTCATTGATGTATTAATCAATTGAATATTTATTTTTCTCTTGTTTATTTCACTTATAGAGTTCGATTCTTTTGTATATAGGAACCCTGCTTGGCGCCTATCGCACAAGGGGCATTCTGCCTTATGATCGCGATGCCGACATTTCTTATATTTTGGGAACCGAGAGCCCAGATCCTTTCCGTGAACTGCGTGAGCTTAGAATGCAAGCCATTGGTTTGGTTGCTATATTTGGGGATGTGACTGTGGATTTTATGAGATGGCAACGAGTGAATGTATCAAGTTACTCTTCTGGCAAGACTGAAACAATGCTACGAAATACTATCCTTCATCAAAAGACAATTTCACTCTGAAATACCATCTTACATAGGAAACTTCACCCTTGTCGTGGGTGGTACCTTTCAAAAGGTTTTATTTCCAGGATGTCGATGTGGCAGTTCCTAACTCACCCGATAAATTACTAGCCTTTAGATGCCCGTATACTTTTGGAACGCTTGGATTTCAGTTTCCTTAAAAGTGGAAATGCTGAGTTCCCTGCAATTTGAGAAAAAGCAATGGCTGCTAAAGGTATCGAAGGAACGAAAACCGAAGACTTGTGCACTGTCCTTCTACGCTGGTCAAACTCGAAAACGCATTCATCATGGGCGACTTCAACACTTAAAAGGCGCCGTAAGCATAGACAAGAAGAAGAGACGCATTGTGCAGAATGCACTGATCCACAAGGGTAAAGGGCACTGTCTTGAGCCTAACTTAGGTTATTACGCTGTTTCTTTTGGAAAAAAAATTGAATCACACAATGACTCTCTCCGCGTACTGGTAGCCTGCGTAGCTGGCGACCGCAGGTAACGCAGGCTTGTTGAGCGGCCGAAGTGAATCCAATTAGAAGGCTGCATTCCAAACAGCAACAAGAGTAGAACCAAAGTACAAACATACAAAGAGGATTGAGTGGAATATGAGAATTCATATGTTGGATTTTGATATTTCTTTGGGTTTTTATAGGAAACACTTTAATGTCGGATAAAATTAGTAAAATGAACAAGAATATCATATTTATTGGTAATGTAGTTGTTGTGGTTAATCAGAAATTGTCAGCATGGCTATTATTCTTTAGTTTTTTAAAACTGTCCAATTAGGAATTGAATAAAGGCTGATAGTTTCGAAAGAAACTGTTTGGGGCTGCGTCGGTGGGAGTAACGAAATCATTTGGATATATCAACAAAGTTGAAATGGTAAATTGGCCACCGTAACGATTACAAAGGCTGACGTTTCGAGTGTTAGCCCTTCGTCGGAGCAATTAGGAATTGGATTGGAAAGCTTTAAAAAATTAAAAAATAATAACTTGACTGAGAATGCCCAGAAGAAGAAGAAGAAAACTTTATTTAACAGGGGTAAAACACATTGATTACTGGTCACCCAGTAGTTTTCATAATGGCCCTCCTACCATTAAAAGTAATAAAACGTATCGATCAAATTAATTATCAGGATAATCTACCAACTAAATTTATATAATGAAGAACTAAAAAAAACCATATTAATTAATTAACTACTAATAAAACTAGAAGGTTTTACAAATCTTAAAATGATCAATAAAGGAATTCTTATTACGGTAGAGTTTAAATAAGTAATTCTTAAAATTTGTATGGGAAAGTGACCTAAGTTTTGGATCAAGAGTGTTCCACAAACGACAAGCGCTTGAGTGAAACGTTCTGAGGCCAGAGTTCCTTTTACAAGCTAGTGTTGTTATATTGTTATTGGAAACTGATCTCGTGTTATAATTATGGGTATTGCTTATATTTTCAATGTATTTATTAAAATAAGCGGGGGCAATGTCCTTGATTTATTTTATGAAGCATATAAAGCTTCCTAATACATATAATATCGTCTATAGGCAGCCAATCTAGTTTGTTGAAACGCTTGACAGAGTTTTCATGAGTATCGGCGTCCAAAATTAGCCTAGCACATCGTTTCTGTCGTCTTAAAACTCTTTGAAGATTCCCAACGGTACAATTACCCCAGACCGTGCAACAATACTCTAGAATTGGCTTGATGAGAGCAGTATATGACATTTTTCTGCAAGCCAAGGTTAAATAAGCTTTAGCTCTTTAAGAAGACAAATTCAAGAGTTCAATTTTTTAATCAAATAGTCAAGATGTAAGTTCCACGAAAGATTTTGGTCAATGACGACTCCAAGCAGCCTTCCTCCCGCTGCCTCTCCCAGCCTGATGCCACCGATATGAATTTCCATTGTGGTCTCATTTGTATGCTTAAGCCTTTGTACAGAACCAATTAGCAGGTGTTTGGTCTTCTTTGTGTTTGGTATCATCCGGTTCAGTTTAAACCAACCGTTGGCCTTGTTTAGACTCATTCAGAGTAT